ATAGTTCCTAGTTAGCCCCAAGTGCTGAGAGAATAGAGTAAGAGAATGTCATAGAACAACTGTAGGAGGATTCGTGGAAGTAGAGGCTCTGAGGAATGGGAGGTGGCTCCACCTGGTGCTGGGAAGATGGTCATCAGATATGACTGTTGCATGTTGAGTGGTGAGTTCATATTACGATTGCTTATGCAAAAAGGCAGTGGCATAAAAAGATGGGCCAGGAGCAGATTTTTATGCAAAGATTTGAGGTGTGAATCATGAATCTTAATGGTAACCACATAACATTTAAGTAAATACAACCCAGGAGTCATTCTTGATTCCTCTCTGCTTTTATATATTTTTTTCTCACAGATTTCCCCATCTCAGTAGATGGCACCACTCCACCCAGTTGTAAAAAACTGAGACACCCTTAACTATTATCCTTCCCTTACCATGCTCAGCACATTTTGTCCATTGAAGTCTCAAAATATATTTCAGCACAACCACTGCACTCATATCTAATGATGACATACAAATTCACATCCCCATAACTTCTTGTCTAGGTAATTGCAATAATCTTCTAATTGGTTCCCTTGCTTCTACTTTTGCCTCCACCCTACCCTGGTTATCTCTTCCTAGTATACTCACTACTCCTGACATTTTAATAGACTATTTTTTAGGGCCGTTTTAGTTTTATAGACAAACTGATTAGAAAGTACAAAGGGGCTGGGGATTTAGCTCAGCAGCACAGCACCTGCCTGGCAAGCGCAAGGTCATGAGTTCGATTCCTGGTACTGGAAAAAAAAAGAAAAGAAAGTACAAAGAATTCCTACCTATACTTTTTCTCACATGTGTACAGCTTCCTCCATTAGCACACCCCCTCTCCCTAGAGTGGTATATTTGTTACAACCAGTGAAGCTTCCCTGACACATCATTATCACTAAAAGTCCATAGTTTACATTAGGGTTCACTCTTGTGAATTCTATAGGTTTTGACAAATGTATAATAACATGTTTTCACCATCATCATATCATCTAGAATAATTTCACTACCCTAAAAATCTTGTTTGCTTGGGATATTCATCCCTTTTTCTCCCAAACCCTGTCAATCACTTATCTTCTTATGATCTTTGTAATTTTGTCTTTTCCACACTGTCATGTAGTTAGAATCATACTGCATATGCTTCTTCCAGACTGGCTTCTCTGACTGAGTTACATGCATTTAAATTTTCTCCATGTCTGTTTGTGGCTTGATACCTCATTCTTTTTAGCACTGAAGAACATTTCATTGTGTAGATGTATCACATTTTATTTATCCATTCATCTACTGAAGGACATCTTGGTTGCTTTAAAGTTTGGACAGTTATGAGTAAAGCTGCTATAAACATGTATGTATTTTGTGTGTGTGTGTGAATGCAAGTTTTTAGCTCATTTGGGTAAATATCAAACAGAAGAATTGCTGGATCATGTGGTAAAAGTATGTTTAGTTTTATAAGAAATTGCCAAGATGTCTTTCAAAGTGGCTGTACCATTTTTCATTCCCAACAGCAATGAGCAAGGTTTCCTATCTCCACATTCCTGCCAGCAATTGGTAGTCAGTGTTTTGGATTTGGGCCATTCTAATAGGTGTGTAGTGGCATCTTGTGTTGACCTGCATTTCCCTGGTGATGTGTAGGTTAAGCATCTCTGCATGCTTATTTGCCAGCTGTGTATCTTCTTTAGTAAGGTACCTGTTCAGATCATTTGCTTTCACTGGATTTTGAACTTTCTATTGTCAAGTTTTAAGAGTTCTTTATACGTTTTAGACAAAAATCCTTTATCAGATATGTATTTTGCAAATATTTTTCTAGTCTGTGCTTTATCTTATTCTTTGGGTAGTGTTTCCCCATGACATAACTGTTTTAGTTTTAATAAAGCCACACTTACAATGTTTTTGGTCATAGATCATGCTTTTGGTGTTTCATCTAAAACATCATTGCCAAACCCAAGGCTACTCAGATTTTCTTCTATGTTACCTTCTACAAGATTTATAGTGTATCCTACTATATTTAGGCCTGTGATCCATTTGGAGTTAATTTTTTTGAAAGGTATAAGGTCTGAGTTTTTAAAAATATAAATCATATGAAGTCATTACTTTATTTAAAATCCTCTACTGGCTTGCCCTGATGTTTTGAGTTAAACCAAATTCCTTCCCATGGTCCATGCTTTCTACCTAACCTGACCACTTCCCTGGGCTCCAAACGGACTCGGTGTGAATACTTTCCTTTTCTAGCAGTAGCTTTCTTGCCTTCGCCTCTTAGATATGCATGGCTCATCCACAGCATCCAGTGAAGCAGAAGCAAATCTGTTGCCAGCTAATGAGACTGAGTAGCAATCAAATGAGCAAATTCTATAGAATGTGAATAAAGGAATTTGGGGTAACTGTTTCAAATGCCTTCCTTCAGCTGTGTGGGTAGGGGCGGGTCAGGAGAACGGAAGGGGCCAGCAGCTGAATTAATTGGCAGTTGCCTGAGAGCATAAAGAAAAGCTTAAAATGGGTCATGGAAAAAAATCCAGAGACTAAACACTTTTCACATCTGTAATCACTTCATAAAAGGATAAATGTTCACTTTTAATTGAGGCACAATATAGGATACATTGAATTTTTAAAACGTGCTATATTATTCCAGTGTATATATTTTTCATTAATATAATTCTGTTTGAGGCAGTAATCGTATACATATATAAGTGCTTAAAATCTTAATTTTCCCAGAATCATGATTTTTTAAATTGCCGGAACATGTACACCTCTTCTAGTCAGGTATTATTTCAGACGTCATCAGCTCCAGCAGTGAAATTTGAGGAGAGCTGACCCCCGGTTCCTACTGCTCACTGCTGCTCGTCACCTGAAGCTGTCCTGAGTGGTACTGCACAAGAGCCCCTTCTGTTACAGTAGGTGGACAAGGATACATTTTGTGGGTTGTGGCGTAGCTCAGTGACGGAGCGGTGCTTAGCATAAGTGAGGCAACCCCATATAACCCCTGTCACCACACACACACACTGAACTAGAAGGAACTCAATGGCCTTTAGCTTTTCTTCAATGAAACATCAATAATGGAATGAAGAACTCCATCTTCATAAAGACACAGAAACCCCGTGGCAGCAATATTTCTCAGTTTCTCAATGACATCCTCTCTTTCTTCATCAGGGTTGGGTCCCACAATATTAGTTTCTTCTTACTAATAAATAATATTACAATAATTTACAACACAGCTTACTTTTGTTGAAAATGAATTCACCTTTGAATTACAAGAAATGACTATGGTTCCATATTAGGCCAATGTAAATAGTACATTATTATTCCTTAAATCTGACATATTATGTACTTAACACTACTTTCAGCAAATAGTCCATATTTGAACATTTTTATAGAGTGCCTGCTTGGTAATGGTAGTGATAATTATTTCTTATTGGTGATATATATCTAGTTGTGCAGAAAACCAATGTATGCACGATATTTCCTATTTATCTGGTGCCAGCTAGTGGCATCTATTATAGATGCTTGAAAAACACAGTTGACTTTTTTCTCTTTAACAACAGAGGAAAACATGGTCTTATTGAGATTTTTTTAATTGCTTTAAAACAAAATTTTTAAAAACATTTATGTGCCATGTTGGAGAAAACCAAAAAGATGTACATAAGATAGGATATCTGGAGCATTCTTTTGTATAGCATCCTGAGTCATCTTCTACCTGGTCATTGTGCTCCCATATTGGGAGTATTCTGTCAATCAGTCTTGTATTGGGAAGTTATTAGGGAATGAAATGCGCCTTCATTTCTCAATCTCACCATTCATCATAAGATCTGACACTTCATTAGACGTGGAAAGAACTATTTCTTAAACAAATAGAAGAGTGCCAAAAAATTGTCATATTTCACTCACCACAGTTCCTGGCTTCTGAAAGAAGCCATTCAGTGTTTATAGGTCATGTCCTTAATTATTTAGAAGAGTCCTGGACAAATGTGGGCATATAAGCTTCTTTAATCTTCCCAAATCCCCTACATAACTTAGATATCATAGGCTGTTTAACTGCTAGCTGTCCCAAGAGTCCCTTTAGAAATGACAATAATTTATATGGCCACAGGGATAAGCGTCCTGTGTCCTGCTTATTGGTTTATAATTTTAATCATTCCATCATGAGTGATACATTTTAGACTGGTAGATTTTATTTTCCTGGGATGGAATCTGGGTCACAAAACTTATCCAGTGGTTCAGTCTCTAATAATATTTGCTTTTTTATTTGGTGCTTTCTTATTAATTTGTTGATTAGTGATGTTAATAATTCACTCAAGCAAGAATTTTACATGTCTGCTAATGGTTCAATAATGAAACTTAAAAGGCCATATTCTTTGAAATTTGAGGATGAAGATTTTAATTCTCTTTTGGACTGCCATTCAGATGTGTTCCTGTGGGGAAAACCTTCTTTCTGCTTTCAGTGGTCGACACAATTTCTGAGGCCATTTGTTAATTAATCCAATTGGTCTAAAGTCAAACTGATTTAGAATCCTAAAATCTTTTCATGGAAAGTGTTTTAGAGTTCAATTAACTGAGATCCAGATGTGTAAAGAAAATATACTCCCTGGGCTTTTTATAGTTGGTCTGGTTCCCCAGAAACCTATTTGAAGGACGAGTTTCAATGTGCATTCTCTGTGTGCTGCCATAATTTAAATTGTCATTTTAGTCACTCGGTCACTTTTGGACAGGTGATCGTACTTGCTGTTTTCCTCAGCCTTTGCCAGTTGCTGTTCGAGATTGTTTTCGTAGAGGAATTTGGAGTGTAGAAGCTTTGTGGACGTGATTGCATGAAGTGAGGAATGAGGCCAGGTGCACTGCTTTCTCCTACTACAGCTAACAGAGCTGGCTCTCGCCGCTGAGAAAGTGCTGCCCGTGACTTGTGTCATCATGAGGAGGAGTCATTCATGGATGTCCTGGTCAGAACCTTCACACCAAAAGATCCCTTTGTCTCTCTGTTTTTCCGTTTTCAGCCTGGATGTGTAAATACTACGGAAGTGGACATTAAGAAGTCGTCCCGAATGAGAAACCCACACAAAACGCGGAAGGTAAAACTGCCAGGCGCCGTACTGATCTGGGTGATATGCTTTGTTCACAGGGTGTCAACCCCCAAACACCATGTCTGTCTCCCCTCTGCCTCCTGGTCCTCTCTGTCCTCTCCTCAGCCTTTCTGTCTGGATGCAAGGCAGAGGGTGATGCTGCCTGGCTGTGCCTGGAGGGGGACAGGGAAGCTAAAGACCCCTGCTCTCCGTTATGGACAAAGATGTCACCCTCAGGCCCCACAACATAGGAAATGGGGTCGGAGATTATCTGAGGAAAGCCTAACACTAATGAAAAAAGGGCAGTTTTATAGAGAAAAAAGTCATCTGAAGGGTATTTCATTACAGAGAGGAAGTGAGGATAGTCTTTAATGTGAAAATTTTGTGACAGAACCATAAGATACGGGAATTATTTCAGTATCTGTTCTGTGGGAGAATTACTAAGGAGAAAAGAGCTATCCTGAATTCAATGACATTTTAAATAGCCCCTTAAAAAAGCAGCGGTATCAACATATATTTAAAGTAATACCTGCAAGGAAAAGGCATTTTTCTTTATTCCTTGAGAAATGGCTGATGTACATAAGAATTCCTGTCCTGTAGCAATCACTCTGAAGGTGTGCAATCACTCTGCACAGCCTGCAGGTTGGTATAGATGGAAAAAAATGTTTCACAAGGCTCAAGTCCTCTTTTCTGTGACTTTTTCTTTATGTTGTTGCAGTACTTTGCAGACTATGTGTCTCTGCAACAGGCTGAAATAAATTTTTTGTAGTTCTATTTCATGTTGTCTTTTTTTTCTATCCGTAGATACCTAGCATCTTGTTCAAAGGTCCCAGTGTGACCCATGTATCTTTTGTTCCTTTAAGACAGTTTACCTTGATGTCAGAGTAAGGAAGACACTGGAAAGCACCACAAAACCCATTTCAATGCAGAACTCAGGCATTTTGCACCTAGGAGCCCTCTGAGGAAAGAGACCGAAAGAGCCCAAAGCAAACCCATTTGCTGCTCTCTCCATAGCGGGCCACACTGTGTCCTTTCATCCTGTTCACATCCTCAGTGTCCCAGAGACTGGCTCAGAGGAGCAAGATACAAAAATGCCATCATCTCCCCAAAAAGTACAATAAGCCACTTCTCCATAATTTCTGAATTGTGAAGAGTTAATCCCCAGAACACCTTCCTATCATGTCTTCCCCAACATGACACCAACTGGAGCTCTGCTTCAGAGGGGAAAGAGTTCAGATTAACAAGATCCAACATAAATGTAGTCATGTGATCACTTACCCTCTCCATTTTAGCACTCTATTTGGCATTGATATCTTACCTGTGCGTCGCCTGCTATCCTTGCTTGAAGTTTGAAAAGCATTCCTTTACAACGTTGCTGGTCGAGTACAGGCAGCTCACATTTAATGCTGAAAAGCCATCGGGCCTCCCAAGGTGAAGTGCTGTAAAGAGGAGGAATTATAGAGCATTAGCTTGATTTGTCTAAGATGCACTCTGATTTCCTACAATTCAATAATGGTAGAACGATAAGCCCCAACTGCAGAGCTGCACAACACTAAGCTACTAGAGAAAAATCAAAGTCCTGAAACAAAAAAAAAAAAAAAAAAGCAGGCATACATTCCCTTGTTTTCCACAACTGAAGAAAACTGATTTTCTCACCTTTTGATCAATGTAGCTTTTCATGACCAGAAGTGGTGAATTTACTGTTATCTTCACAGATAATGAGGTTGTTTTACACAGAAGGCTACAGAACTCTAAGCCACAGACGGACTTGCCTTTTTGAATCATCACCACTGATGCCAGGCATGGTGGTGCACATCTGTAATCCCAGCACTTGGGAGGCCGAGGCTGGAGAATTGCTGGGAGTTCAAGGCCAGGCTGGGCTGTATAGTGAGACCCTGTCTCAGAACAATAACAAAGGCATTATCACCATGATATATTAGCTCATATTGGGTTAGGAACTGGAATGGCTAAGTGCTAGATGTGTACAGCTCCTCAGGTGTTCCCTAGGGGCTGGGGCAGGCAAGGCCTTCCTCCCACAGCTCACGGTCCCGTAAAGACATAGATGTGGAACAGGTAGACAACGCGTATGTGAGCACATATGTGGTTCTGTATTTTATGTGTTAGTCGGCTGGGACTGCCTTCCCAAAACGCCACACACAGGGGCCTTCAACAGCGAGAATGCATTATGGCAGAGCTCTGAAGGCTCAAGCCCCATGACAAGGCCTGGCAAAGTTAGTTTCTGGGGAAGACTTTCTTTCTGTCTTGAACCTGGCTGCTTTTTGCTGTGTCCTCATCACCTTGCCTCTGTGTCTGCGTAGGGAGAGGAAGAGGCAGACAAAGACAGAGAAAGTGAGCTCTGCTTTATCATGATTTCCTTTTCATAGGTCTGGTGTCCAGATGGAATTATATCAGGGTTTGAGAGTTAGCATGTTAATTTTGGGGGCACACCTCAGCTTGTTGTATGTTACATGTTATAAAAGGATTCTAAACTGCCTCAATATTTTATCAGTGAATAGCTTGACAACTAGCACCAAACTGTTCTACCACCCTCGGTCCCTGTGGAGCAGGCCACGCTGTGAGATCACAAATACTGGGTGGAAGTAGCACAGCCAAGCCACTGCCCCCCAAAACTGCCTTTGCCCTCGCAGTGACTGGTCTCTCTCCCTACTTTTCTCCTTGCTTCTGTGTGATTGCCCTCTGTCTTACATTGCTGCCATATGGGACGTGAAACCCTGAACCATGTTTGATCTTTGAAAAGAAGGACTGCTCTTAGCAAAAGAGCTGTGTTCTTGGGGAATCTGTTGTACTAAGGTTTCTTGCAATGATGTGTCAGAACACAAATAAAGGACCCAGTAAATCACTAAAATCATAATCCAGTTTATGTGCTTCAAAATAACAGGGTTAGTTTTACAATTTGAAGGGAGGGGGAGATTGTATTTTAGCATTCAGCTTCAAGCATGTTTACTAGATATGGGAAGAGAAGGCTTATATTTATATTTAGTTGGTCTGAGTTATTTTTAAAAATTTAGGATTACTCAGTTTTCGGATCTCTTTTTCATTCTAATAGGCTTTACTAAAGCACAAGAAAATTGGTAAATATTTATTCCCTGAAGTGTCTAAGAAAGAATGATAATGTTGCATAGCCAAGGAAGAATGAGCTAATTTAGGCAAGTTTCAAGGGGGGCACCATTAGCCTAATATCCTTTGGGCTGGTTTTAAAATAAGGTTGTATAATAGTCAAGGTGTGTGTGTGTGTGTGTGTGTGTGTGTGTGTGTGTATGTGTGTAGTGGGTGGTGGGGGGAGAAGAGAATTTGTAGGAAATGTGAAGGAATTGATTTACATGATGATGGAGGCTTAGACCAAAGTCAGAAGAGGGCGCTAGTCAACACAGCAGAAACCAGGAAGTGGTGCTGCTCCATTCCCAAGGCATCTAGAGGTAGACGCCCTTCCTGGGCCAGGCTGCTCTTTGCTCTATTTAGACCTTCAATTGATAGGCCGAGGCCCACTCACATTATAGAGGGCGATCTGATGTACTCAAAGTTCACCAATTTAAATGTTAATCACATCCATAGTCACTCTCACAGACACATCTAGGAGGATGTTTATCCACAAATCTGTGGACCATAGCCCAGCCAAGCTGATAATAAAATTAAACATCTCAGACTAGATCCTCCTATATGATGTTAGCTAGAGGGACCCTAGAACGCAGACCCCAAGAAGAACAAAGAGGCATTTGCATCTGAGTGACTGAAGCTACCTTTTGGATGGCCTCCAGTCCCTTCAGAACTCACGTTTCGAAACAACAGTAAGCTGTTTTGTGTCCTGCACCCCCCCCCCCACATCTTCATTTGGACTTTTAGACAGTTAACATTATAATCAGCAGCATATGTGAGCTATGAAGGTCCATATCCTGGGAAAAGAGTTAGGAAAGTGATGATTAGGTGCGTAGTTTTTGTGCTATTAACAATGTAGTGTTTAGCTAATACACTGAAATGTCCTGTTTGGATATTTCCTCATTTCCAATTATGGGGTGTGTAGATCTGAAATTTAATGTGTGACATAACAGAATTCACTATCCATATCTTACAATAAAAAGTGCTTTTAAGTAAGGGATTCCATAAAGTTGCTGACAACAGAAACTCTTCTCAAACTGAACTAAATAATGAGAGGGATTTCCTGGATGACACCTTTGGAAGAGGCGAGGGTAGCATGGGCAGAGGGACTTGAGTACCGTCAGAGCTCTCACACTCCTCCTCTGGGGTCTTTCTTTGCTTTTGTCTTTGTTCTGGCTTCCTCCATGCGGAGTGAGACATGGTCACAGTCTGTTCTTTGGTTGAGCTGAGCAATCCAGAAGGAAAGAGAAATAGCCTCATGTGAGTCCTGGGAAGAAAATCCCCAAGAATTACACTCCAAACAAACAGAAAAGCTTCTTGTATTTTGCACATTGAAGTTTCTGTTGTAGAGTTTCTATCTTACTCCATTTGGGTTGCTTTAACAAAATATCTTAAATTTAGTAATTTGTAAACAACATAAATTTATTATTCATAATTCCAGAGATGTGGGGAAGCCCAACACCAGACACAGGAAGATGTGATATCTTGTGAGGGTCCACTGTCTGTCTCAGAGGTGGCATCTTCATGGTGTGCCCTTACAGTGGCGGAAGAGACCAGCAAGCTCCATGAGACCTCGTGTGTAAGGGGACTAATCCCACTTATCCCCCAGGCCCCAGTCCTTCCCAAAGGCCCAACCTCCCAGGACCATCACCTTGGGGGGTTGAGTTTTAACATATGAATTGAGGAGATCACAAATACTAAGACCATAGCACTGAACTCCTCAAAAATTGGAAGGAATTTTTCTTAGTTCTAAAATATGAAGACAACTTACATATGAACAGATTAGGGTAGAAATTGAATTTGTTTCATTTAATGAGTAATTTGGATGGCATATATGAAAACTTTTTCCTAGGCACTAGGCAAGATAAAAGGGCAAGTTAATCAAGTCAAAGAATCTCAATTAAGAAATTCATTTTGCTATTAAAGCTCAAAATGGATCCCAATTTGTTCCTTTGGCTTTCCCCATGTGCAAATATTAATATATTAGAAAATTGGACTCCTATTCCTCTGTAGCCCTACCCACCACTCCCTTTAGTCCCTGTAACCCTGTACCACTATTTTAAGATATTTCCTTTTCCTGCAAAACTACAAAGCCTTTCCTGTTGCAAATAAGCCTTATGAGTTGGATGTCAAAAATGGATCAGTATCGTTACCTCTTTTGTACATAAAAGAAGCCCCAGACATAATACTTTATTCATTGTAGCTGTTTCTGTTATAGCCAGGAGTCAAAGTTAAAAGGCATTGCTAGTCCCTAGGAAAGAAACAGCACACAGCTTCATGACAGTGAGAGCTCCTGATGTTTACTTGCCTATTAGACAAAAAAAAAAAAAAAAAAGTGACTCCTCATAAGCTTAGCAAAAAGAGCTAGGCTTCTGGAAGATCCTAAGCAGGACCTCCCAAAGCTTTGAGTTATGGTCTTATATGGAATTTCATGAAACTCACATGAGAAGCCTGAATGTTGAAATAGCTGTAGAAATGTAGAGATAGAATGTAACTTAGAGATCATTTTATTTTTTTCAACATCACAAATTCCAACATTTTTCTTAAGTCTTCCTAATTATTTATAATCTTAACCACAAAGCTTACTTTTCAAACCGTCAGCTGTATTGTTTTGCAACACTATTTAAATGGCTTATAAATTCTTATTAAAGATCTTTAAATAATTAAACAAAAGTAAAAAAGAATGGAAAGTTCAAGTCTCAGAGTCTTTATTTGTCTTATCAAAAATTAATGTGAGGGATGGGAATGTGGCTCAGTGTTGGAGCGCTTGCCTAGAAGGCATGAGACGCTGTGCTCAATCCTCAGTATGAAAAATATAGTGATGAAATGGAAAAATAGCCGACACTGGCACGTACAACTATTGTATCACTGGTGGTCTCTCGCTTGCCTAATTTTTAAAACCAGCTTCAACTGTTATTTCAGAGTTCAGAAGGTCAATTTTGTCATGTTGAAATATGGCTAGTATTAGTCCATTTAGGCCTTTCCTATTTCTTCGGTGTAAATTAAATCTCCTGGTCTCTTATTCTTTTCTTTCAAAATATCTAGCACAGATTTAATCATATGTGCAAAAGTTTTCAGTGATGATGATTATAGTATGTGTTTAAATTTTTAAAAATGTGTTACATTAAATGACACATGCTATGAACACCCCTCAGAATCTTGCCTCTCACTTCAAACACAGTTATTGAACCATTCCTAGCACTTTCTGAAGCAGTTCTGGAAGTCCTCTTTCATGAGTGTCACAAGTCTTGTGGTCATGCTGCCTCGATGTCCTGATCCAGTTCAAAACATTGACCTTTCGTGGTCCTTTTGTCTTTGGGGAAGAGCCAAAAGCTGCGGGGTGCCAGATCGGATGAACAAGGAGAGTGAGGACACGCTGTAAAGTTTGTACAAGCCTGACTTTCCCTTGGATGACACTGCACAGCAGCATTCACTGTAGTTTTGATTATACCTCATAAAAACACTAAAGAAAGAGAACTTCAGAACTGCTTCAAAAATAATTATGTACTGCAAACATGCACTAATAAAAAGTGTCAAGAAATGATGAGATAAGTATGTCTGAAGTGACGGGGAGTATTTTGAGGGTATTAATGGCAGAATGTCTTTTACTGTAACAGTCGCTCAAAATTTAAACATTCATTGTATGTTTGGATCACACCTTGCATTTGTCACTGTGTAACTGGTTTCCCTTCCACTGGGTTGTAAATTCCAATGGAGAATGAAGCATATTTCATATGTTTCTATATCCCTAATGTCTAGCACTGTTTCCAGCATGTAGCAAGAGTACCAAAAGTGTTGAATGAATGAATGAATGAATGAACAAATGAATAAATGAATGAATGAGTGAATGAATGAATGAGTGAATGAATGAATGAATGAGTGAGTAAATGAATGAGCAAGGTCAAGCTGCTTAGCACAACCCTGTTAACAGGGCATGCAAAGCATGTGCCAGTCCTTTGTTGAAAAAAGCGGCGGCCAGTGACAGGGATCGGGTTCAAAAGTGTTAGAGACAGGACAGAAGGAAGAACTAAAGGGTCCCACCCAAGATAGTCTAGAACTGAATAATCCAAATGGTTAAATACGAATCAAAATCTGTTTAAAGTGCACTAAGAGCAGAATAATGAGGAAACCCAGAGGGGGAAAAATCCAGTCCAAAGGATTCAGGTACAGAAATAAAATGTAACATTCAGTGCATAAGGTCCCAGAGAAAATAGATGAGGAGCAAGGCATTGGAAATTTCTAGGTAACGATGAGCTCGAAATAGGGTCAATTAAGCATGTACATCTCCTCTGGTCTTCTTTTAACAGTTCCCTTGCAAGCCGTTCCTGGCAACTCTAATTTTGCCAGGTGCACGCGTGTTCATTATGCTCTCACCTTTCAATCTCATGTCCAAAGAAAAAGCACTCAACAGTGCACATTAAATACTTTTTTGTTCTACAAAATAAAAATAATTTGATACTAAAGAAAAAGTAAGTTGGCTTCTCTGCTCAGCTGACCTGGGATTTGTCTCCCCTCAGCTCTACAGCTCCAGGTCTTTTTCATACTTATGAAACAATGGGTCTTTCTTTAGAAAGAGTCTTCCTAGATAGTAGGTTTCACCTTTGGGGCAAATTAATAAAGAAGTACTAAGGCATCAGGAATCCCAAAGACTGATGAAGCCTATGGAGTTTCTGATGTTTGCAAATGTACCCAGTAGCAGGGCTGGTATTGTAAATAGCCCAGTGCTGAGAAGAGAAAGTCAGAACACTCTGGGGTGTCTTTGTTCATGTCGGCAGAGACCAAATCAGAATTCTTAACCCACTTGTTCTGGGTAGCGCTCCAGTCGAGTCTTACGTGATAATCGATTTATGTTTGTCTTCTGTTGGGTTATTAAATTTCTATTCTACTTTTTATCCACCTCTATTTTACCTTGAAGTCAATAATTATTAAATGTTACTTAACCTTGTCATCCCCAACTTGGTGGTCTCAGCATATTTTTCATTATGTAATCAATTAGCAATTATCCTGTTCAAGTTTAGAATCTCACCATAGAGAGAGCTGTGCTTCTATTTTATACATACATATGATATTTACTATAGCAGTGCCCTTTGGATTTTGGTAAGAAGCTTTATCAAATAAGCTTTGAGTTACATACTGAATATAAAATACAGATTTACTTTCTAGAAAGTCTGTCAGTTCAAATGGTATTTTGACCTAATATATTGTTTTATTTTAATATAGTCTGTCTATGGTTTACAAAATGATATTAGAAGTCACAGTCCTACCCACACACCCACACCAGAAACTAAACCTCCTACAGAAGATGAGCTACACCAACAGGTGGGTCAACCTATAAAATGACCTGTGAAGGGTTTGCAGAGTAACAGCTATGAAGACCAGATAGTGAACGTGAATAGCGGGTATTTTGAAAGGTAATTTATATGGTCAACTGTCTCAGGTAGAATATTCTCAGTTTTGCTAATGAGAAGACAAAAAGTTAAGCCCATTATGTCAACATCTCTCCTATCTAATGATGTAATATGATTAGCACAAAAAGTGCTTATTCTTGTTACTACAGTACTGATTTCTTTAAACGTTTTGGAGTTTTTCCCTGCCAACACTGTTACATACTGCTTCTTTTTTAAAACTCATTTTTCTAAATCATTGATCAATACCTTGGCTCCAAGAAATATTTTAAAGCAAACGTCCATGTCTCATATCAAATAATAGTTAGATTTCTTGATAGCTTTAATAATTGAGTTTTTTTTCCTTTGACTTTTTCTCCTAACATTTTAGTGTATTATGGTTTATTAAGGATGTAAGATGTACTTTTCTGGTATATTTATATTCACCATGAAAGTGAAGTAATTCAGAAAGTTGTTGAAGTTTTCTGTGTCTGTTTATATGCATGTGAGCCTACCTATGTCATGAGTTGGTGAAATACTTTCAAAACACAAATTATTGATGCTTCCTTGGGATAGTATCAGGAGGTAGGATTTATTTTAAAGTTACAGACTCAAATAAAAATACATTTATTTTTTGAATTAAATATTTGTAAGGAAATGCAATTCTGCATTTGAATATTCATGATAATAAAATGTCTAACATCTTCAGAACACTTTGCAAATAAAATTATATTTTGTTAAGGTAAGCGGAATAGTCATGTTCATTAGTGTTGTACAAATATACTGGTTATGTTGTATTCAAATAGATTTTAATCAGAATTTAGAGATGAAGATTGTGATGTCTTTCCTTACATAACTACTTCTGTAATCTTTTCAGATAAAATATTGGCAAATACAGTTAGATCGACATCGGTTAAAAATGTCAAAAGTTGCTGATAGGTAAGTTTTCAAGATGCCATTATAAATTTTTAAATTTGTCATAAGACAAATTGGTTAAAAATGGTAAGAGAACTGTTGAGGGAGAGGGGAGCTGAGATAAATAATTGGAACACTATAAGTATGTTATGTTACTTTATTTTGCTTTTTAGCACATAAGGAATCTTTCAAAATACCATTTTGTTATACTTTAAGGATAGCACGATCATTATTGTTTTAATTCCTTAGAGGTCCAATCCTTGTGCAGCCAAAAATAAGATACAGACAACAATCCCAAGGAGTTAAATTTTTTCGTTCTTGGTGGAAGAAATGAAACTTAATATACTGGCTATGTTTTGGCAACTTGGAGAATAACTGTGAATTTGTTTTAACATTTTCAATCTACTCTGTTATTGAATGTTTTCAACATTGGAATTAAATTCAGAGTTTTAGATTTGCCTTTTCTTCATTTAAATCTGTTCTTAATATCATTCATATTTTTCACTTTGGGACAGTGCCAAATCTTACCTCTCCCACATCTTCTTTTCCTCCTAACGTTTATTTTTAAGTACAGATTTTTTAAAAGAAATTTTTATCAGAAATTCCTCTTTTACCTAATTCCCAGAAGTACCTCTGCCAAAAAATCCTTTTTAATTCCTTCTCCAAGTTGGTTAAAATCAGTCCTTCTGTGAATGGAGAACTGGTTTACCAAGGACAAAAAACTGACCCTTAGCAGTCTTGCATACAGCCTGCCATGTTGCCGCCTTGTGACTTGCATGGAGTGATGAAATCCGTAACCACATCTGTCTACCAAAAGCGCAATAACTTGTTTCATGTATGTTACTGAAACATGAAATTTTTCCATTGTGTTTTATTCTGTAAATGAGTGATTCCTTGGCCAGACATTTTTATCTTGTTTCCATTACTTTGGGCTGGGCATATCTTCAGACAGAAAACTAAAAAGGCAGAAATTTTTTTTTTCTTTTTTCCTAGTCTACTAAGTTATACAGAACAGTATGTAGAATATGACCCATTTCTTGTGCCACCTGATCCTTCAAACCCATGGCTGTCTGATGATACTACTTTCTGGGAACTTGAAGCAAGGTAAGTGACATTTTCTCTTCCTCCCAATGTGTCATTTATTTCAGGGACTGAGTATACTAGGAAAAATCCTCTAGATAATAAATTGTAAAAATGCTTTTACTTTTTATCTAAATTGGTCCATGATATAATATTCCTTCCAGGATAATGGGTTTTCTTTAAAGAGAAAAGAACCAAAACATATTAACAAGCGCATAGATGTAAACAAAACTTGAATGGTCACTTACCTTGCTGAGTCTTTGCCCCTTATTATTTATCTGACACTGGCAAATTACAATGGTTTTTGTACCTCAGTTTTCTTATCTACACAATGAGAATAGCAGTACTTACCTGTCAGAGTTACTAAAAAAAAACCCCAAAATACTTTATGTATAGTACTTAGCATCTAATGATCAATATATGTATAAACCAGTAAATATTTATCAAATAAATTAAGAAATAATGATCCATAAATGTTATTATTAATTTAACTTATACATTACTATGATTGCATGAAAACAGTGGCATATTTTTTTCTGAACAATAAGTTAAAGATGAAAACTTTAAGGTGTACATGGTTTTGAAGTGAAATGTAATAATGAAGTAAGAATTTACTGAAAGGAATATATTGGCTTTGTTTCATCTCCTATAGCAAAGAACCAAGCCAACAGAGGGTAAAACGATGGGGTTTTGGCATGGATGAGGCCTTGAAAGACCCAGTTGGGAGAGAACAATTCCTTAAATTTCTAGAGTCAGAATTCAGCTCTGAAAATTTAAGGTAAGACATAATGTTTTGTTCATATGCTACAAGCCAGAGAGACACTATGGGAGATGTGTCTAGATATTTTAGATTTAACAGAGTCATTAGTCTTCTGCCTCCATCCTGATGATGTTATGGACCTATTGAATTTCTGCAACCTAACCAAAGAGATAAAATGTAACTAAGAAAAAAGTTGTCCAATATTATCAATTCTTTATAATAATTTATTTTCATATTGCCTCTGGATTTTTAAACTATACTATTTTAGTACTTTTGAAAAGGACTCCATCACGAAGTATAATTCTTAGACCCATGTTTGGCAAGTTGAAGAGCGGCCAATTGTATTTCTACAGTTAAATTAAAACATCACCTATTTATCAATATTAACTTTTGTTTGTCTCTTTGAAAGTAAGTTACAGAAGAAAGTGGACATCTCAATCAAATATCTTTAGACAAAACTCTAGGGGCCCCTTATTTACTTTGCAGTTTTAAATATAGCCACAGGATAGTTGGGAGTAGTGTTGTGCTGAGCTGTTAATGAGGCCAAGACACTACTTCTATCCATCTGTTATGAACATCTTTATATATTTTTTGAATTTTCTAACTTAAGGTGCATCTGGAAACAGCATCTCATTAATGTAATAATACATGTGGGTGGGTTTTAATAGCTCTGTGTAAGATCACTTAAGTGAGTGATAACTTTTCCCTACATGAAACTGTTTTCCATTAGCTCTTCCATTCATTATTCTTTTAAAATCTGATACTCTATTTTTACCTTTCCATGACTTACAGAGTCCTGTGAAATTCTTTTATGGAAAGATCTCAGCATTCATTTGTTTTCATTAGAAATAAGTAGCACCAGGCTTTATCGTATTCATTTCAGGAGATTTAACAGGTACCAACATCAGATAATTCAGAAATATGCAGAAAGTTGACAGATGTCCCAAGGAAGAGACAAGAAAACCACAAACATTACCTAGATGAGTTTAGTTTTCTACATGTGTTTTTGTCATGCATTGTTGCCATGAAGTTTCCTATTCTAAGTTTTTAGGAATCTTGTTTAATTCCCATGTGATTGGGGTTTTGTTCATGAAATATTTGCTTACACCTATGTCTTCAAGAGTTCTGCCTATTCTCTCTTCCAGCAGATTTAGTGTTTGTGTTTTAATATTTAGATCTTTGATCCATTTTGATTTCAGTTTAGTACATGGTGATAGACATGGGTCTAGTTTTAGTCCAGCATGTAGAAAGCCGGTGTTTCTAGCACCATTTATTAATGATACTATCTTTCTTCCAGGGAATATTTTTGCCCCTTTGTCAAATATAAGGTGACTGAGTGTGTTGGCAGTTGTGTCTGCATCTTCTAATCTGTTCCATTGATCCTCAGGTCTGTTTTTTTGCCAGTACCATACTGTTTTTATCACAGTAGCTTTGTAGTATAATTTCAAGTCAAGGATTATGATGCCCCATGCCTTGCCTTTGTTGCCGAGAATTGTTTTTGCTATTCTAGGCCTCTTCTCCTTTCAAAGGAATTTTTGGACTGTTTCCCTAGTTCAGTGAGATATGCTCATGGTATTTTGATTGGGATTGCATTAAATCTGTATTACTATTTTGGGAGTATGGCCATTTCCACTATATTCACTCTTCCTATTTATGAAAAAGGGGTATTTTTCCATTTTCTGATATCCTCTTTGATCTCCTTTTTCAGAGTACAATAATTTTCAATATATAGATCTTTTACTTTGTTAGATTGATTCCTAAGTGTTTCATTTTTTTGGATGCTATTGTGAAAGGTGTAGTTTCCCTTATTTCTATCTCTGTAAGTTTGTTGTTTGTGTACTAGAGTGCTCTAGATAAACTCAAGACATTTCTAGGTAAATAGATACACCTTGAGACCATACCCTTTGTGAAATAAATCAGACATACATTGTGTAAGTATTGCATTGTCTCCCTGGTGTGAGAATCTGAAAGAGTAAATAAGGACCAAAATGTACAATAGGTATTGTGAAATAGGAAGCAATTCTTCAAAAGGAAATTGGAATTAGGAAGGGGGAAAGGAAAGAAGGGAAAAGGAAAAAATGATTTAAAAAACGATAAAACAGAAACAAAGCTTTGTAAATAGGGAGGGGAAGACGAGTTGAAGGAAGGAGAGGGAATCAGGAAAAAAAGAAAAATTAAAATATATTATATTCAGGTACAAATTCCCTATGATGAGTATGATCATTATGTATACCAAAATTGTACCAATACAATTAATCAAATTAAAGAAGAGTTTATAGGAGCCCTTCCTGGTGGAGCCTTTGCAAGATCTATGGTAGCTAAATATTTTATTGGGCCTACAAATTAACATTTTCCATACTGAAGTTACATCATCAATGATTAAGTGAAAAAAATGCATACAAATGAGATATTTTGGCATTTTAGTGAATGGGAGGGTGGATTTTCCTCTCATTCTCTAAATTTTTGTAAAGATTCTGACACCATGAGGATCATCACAAGGAAATAAACAAGTCATGAGCCTTACCAAGGTCATGAAAATATAGCTGAAAATATAGCTGAATACAGATGAAAATATAGCTCCTGCTCTCGTTTTAGTTTTAGCCTAGTTAGCAGGTGCAGACAAGAAAACAAGTCACAAGACAAAATGATGAATGTCGAGATAGAAGTCGAGGGGTTCCTAACTTAGTGTAGAGATCAGCAAAGGTGTACTAGGAAAAATGACTTCCAGGTTGAGAGTAGGTGATGAAAAGATGAGGAGGAATAAACAGAAGAGGAAAGAAATTAGGACAAAGACAGTAGAGTGTGCATACTTTGCCTCTGCATGGTTGCCTCCATGTGCTGAATTGAGTCAAAATATGCACCTTTCATGGTCATTTTAGCTTTGGGGCAAGTTACACAGTGCCAGATCTAGTAAATAAGGTGGATTAAGACACAGCATGTTTTTACCAGTGACTTTCTGTTGTATGGCACTTGGCATCAGCACTTACCCTACACATGATCAGATCTAGTGAGGACATTCACAGTTCCTTTGTCATGCATTTTTTCTATGACAAATTATTAAAATATCTACATCTGTCTTTTTGATGTTATTTCTAGATCTAACCAAAATGATAAAATCAAGAGCCATTTTTAAAAAATTAAGCCCATTATTTAAATTTATGATCAGGCACCTTCTTAGTATAGGCAGTATGATCGAAAAGTACACTGAATGTTTAATGTTTTTAACTGATTATAGTAAAAGGCACAGTGTCGCTAATCCCCTAAAAGCTCCTCCTCACTTCAAACACACTTTCTCCATCGTCCTTGCCACTTTCTGAAGCAGTTCCAGAAGTCCTGCTACTTGAAGGTCTAGTTGTGCTGGGATGACTGCCTCAATACTGTGGATCACTTCAAACCATTTACCATTCCTGATCATTTTGACTTTGGAGAAGAGCCAAAAGTCACATGGTGCTAGGTCCAGTGAATGCAGTGGATGCACTAAATACTGGTGAATACACTGGGATGTTTCACAAGCCAGCCTTTCTGTTCCATTGCACTCCGCGATAGCATTCACTGAAGTTTTGCTCATACCTCGTAAAGATAGTCAGGAAGTGACAAGTAGGACAAGACAACTGCAGAAAGTGACAAGTAGGACAGGATAAAAGCAACAGGGCATATTTTGTGGGCTATTCATAACAAAATGTGTTTTACTGTAATATACTTTGTTATTTAAACTTTCACTCTGTATCTTGATCACTTCTTTACTTTGCTGCTTACTATTATGAAGCAAAGTACTCTTGTGTTCTTTTAGTCTATATATTCTCTATGTAAATATATGTGCAGAAGCAAATCAGTATGTATTTTTCCATAGCTTATGAAATGCTGTGATACCGCTGCATATTTAAGCCTTTCAAGTAATTGCATGCAAAAGCTTGCTGCTTTTGTCATTGTGTAACACTGTCAGTTACTACAAATTGCTTAAAATTAGCTAATTGCCCTGCTTTTTCCAGGTAGGGCATTTTCTGATGTTGTGTCCAGTCATCTCTTATCTCCAGGAAAGCTTCGTGGTAATCCCTTTATCAAGCAGGGCAGAGCTGCCTCTATACCGATCTTCATTGCTCATATGGACAAAATATCCAAAGAATATCTTGTAATATACTCCTTTATCCCCTCATTAGAAACTTTGCCTGTGCTCTGAATTCTCTTTTTATTCCTCTTCCTAATAAGTGATTTTCTAACAGCACCGCTTCGCTTCCATAAAATTAGGATCGTAGAGTATGAGGGTTCTGACAGATCTGTTTTTAATAACAACCACTCAAAAGAGATGGTGTTCAATATTCCTTTCCAAAGAATTATTTTACCTTTGAATACAGCGACTGGGGGGGAAAGGCAGTACAGACCTGATACTGCAAATCCTCAGAAAAGGTGACTTTGCTTTTATGAGTTGCGATGAACAGTACAGTCAAGAAATATCATAAGAGTTTTCAGATCCTGACCCTTCAGGGTAAACACTTTATGTCACATTTTGCAGATTCTGGCTGGCTGTGGAAGACCTGAAGAAGAGGCCTATTCGAGAAGTACCCTCTCGAGTTCAGGAAATATGGCAAGAATTTCTGGCTCCAGGGGCCCCCAGTGCCATTAACTTGGATTCTAAGAGTTACGACAAAACAACACAAAATGTAAAGGAACCTGGGCGATACACATTTGAAGATGCTCAGGTAGGTGTGTGACACTAAAGGGCTCCTGAGAGGTGGGCGACTGTAAAACCTCAATTTTATTTTCATTTGTAAATAGCAGATATTTCTAATATTTTCAGTTGTGGTAGCAACTATATATAAAATAACTCATTTATGTAGCAAAAAAACAAAGACACTTCAAGTGAGTAGATTTCTAAAGTCTTTAAAGGTTTCATACATTAAAATATTTTTTGCATGAGATTTTATGAAGGAGCATATTTTCAATATCTGAAAACTTTTCCTTTATTTTCTCTTATATTTGGCATGCAGTATTTGAGCAAACACTAACAATGCTTCACACCAGTTCTGTGCATTTGTGATCTTTGATATGTAGATTCTAAGATTCTGACTTTCCTAAATTATGCATTATTATGAATGTTCATAATTAAATTAGCTTTAAATTCAGTGAAACTCAAATCAGGTTTTTCATTACCTGAAAAAATAAATTCAGGGATGTGTTAATTATTTAAGTTTTTATTT